TCTTCTTCAGCAACTTATTTCAGAAGTTTAGTATTTTCTCCTGAGACAGTAAGATCACTCTTAAAGCTTGGTAGCAAACCTGATTTTATTTAATTAATTAATTAATTATTTTTTAAAATCTGAGAGTAAACTAAATATTACTAGAACTGCTGTAATTTTTTTAAGAGTTTCACATGGAAAACACAGCTTGAAAACAGTAATATATTATCAGATTTGTGTACCAAGATGTGACTTAGTTTCTGTTCACAAGTGCTTGCACAGGTTTTGTTCTTTGCTAAATAAAATCTTTTATCTGTCAAAAAACAAACTTGGCTGGAACAAGGAAGAATTGGGCTCAAAACAAATAACATTAGAGAGTTTAGTTTGTTATTATGTTGTTGTTGAATGAATTTCTTGAATACTTAAGATAAAACCTTCGGTACAAAAAAGTTTCTCTTGAATGTGCTGCCTTGATTTTCACAGCCTCTTCACCCCTGAATCTGAGTAGAAAAGTCATTACAAAATTAAAGCTGATGCTAAAAGATAATGGCTTAAAAGGAGCTTTCTCAGAAGTAGCTCACAAACTCATCAGGAGTAACTTCATGTACTCACATATGCACAGAATTATCAGCCTGTCCCAGAGACAGAAGTGAAACTCTTCTTCACTTTTCAGTTACCATCATGCCTCCATCAAAGTTCCCAAATTTATCCTTGCAGGTCCTGGAACATGATGTACCTTATCTCATGTACAAATGTTGGCATGGAAACTATGTAGGTGAAACTGAACTGTTCTGCAAACTGTAATTGCTGAAGGACAAACATCCAGATGCTTTAGGGGGGAAAGAACATCATTGCTGTCAGTTCTGAGAGGACAGCTGCAAATGTAGTTGGTAATCCTATAGATCCATTTCTAGAAACAGTTATGAACTTTGTTCTCTCCCCTCCACCCTCCTAAAGTTATTGCACCACATCTGTTTCTCCTTTAAAGGAAGAGGTGCCTGTCAACTGTTGTCCTGCTAGTCCCTCTGTACCTGATCCTACCTGCCTGTTCAGATGGTAGTGAGCTGGTACACATCCAGGCTCAAAGCTGCTGTTTTCAAATTGTGGAACTTCATAGTTTTGCTGCTTATATTGGAACACAAATAAAGCCCATGTCTCCAAGAGCTCATTTTGCTTTTATGGCTATATAAATTGCCCTAATTGATTAGATGCTGATGAGCACAACTTTTGGTGCTATCACTCACACAATTTACGTTCAAACTGGTGAATTTGTGACTTCCATCATAAGTTGGGGCTTAGACAGCTGTAGCTGAAGTAGCATTTCTAGGTTTGCTGAAACGGCTAGTTATCTGTTCTTAACTCTTCCCTGCCCCTTCCCTGTCACATGGGCTGTTTCTGTTGGCCTTAAGTCAGTCTGAAGGAATGGTTTGGGGATGCTGAGCTGACATAACCAGTCCCCAGAAGGGAGTGGTCCTCTCCCTCTTGATTTCTCGTTCCCGCTCTTTCCTTTGCTGGCCTTAGCCCTCACTTGAAGCACTTTGAGTTGAATCATCTCTCTAGTCAGGGAATAAAACAGATGAGCTGGAACGGCTTTCTGGGACCTATGTGATTTAAATCAGCTCACAGAAAGATTGAGTGCCAGCGCTGAAGCCTGGGAAGGGGTGGGACTGTGGCTCGGAGCAGAGCAGGGAGGAGTTGGGGTGGGGGCAAGAAAGCAAGACCTCGCCTTTTGGCAGCAGCAAGCAGTTAGATGTTATCAGCTGGATGTTAAACGCAGCCAGAGGCTCTGCTCTGTCAGTGGGGTTGGTTCTGCTCCATCACATGTACTCTTGATGCAGGCATCTGTTCAGTGAGTTGGACCACATTGCTACTCTGGCTGAAAGCAGGTCCTGCCACCATGGCTGCCCACTTATGGAAAGACTTCAGCCTGACCAGCAAGGTCGTCCTGCTCTGCTACAGGTTTGCTGCTCAGGCAGCTGTGATGGGAGGTCTGGGGGAAAGGTGAGAGGACTCCCTCACCTTGGTTAGGAGTGCACACCTAGTTATTTATTTTTACTAGACTTTAGTCTGTCACTGTCTGGGGCTACAGCAGACTGTGCTGGGATGAAGAAAAATAAAAGGGGTTGGTTTTGCAAAAGCTGCCGTATCCACTTTAACTTGTTTTGTCTGGTGAATGAGGCAGAGATGCATATAAGGTTCTGGAGATCCTAATGCAAACTTTGGGCAGTTCTACTATGTCATCGACATGCTAGAAAACAGCAATGAATATTTCTCAAAATGCAGCCTTCATAAGCTTTGGAATATGGATAATTGAAGATCTGGGGCTGGAAGGTGGAAGTGGGTTTGTTCTAGCTAGTAGAGCAAAGATTTTGAGTATCATTCAGTTTTCAGACACCAGTAGAGGACTGAAGGTTCCCTGCCATTCTCACTTTGTGTCCTGCAGTTAAAAATGCAGCTCCAGAAGTTGATCCTGGGATTGGATTGTTTTTGGGGGTTTTTTGGCTTCAGCAGGTAGTGATAACACAGAAATAAATGTGGAGTTTCTGTGAGTGTTTGAGATCAGCAGACGCATCCCAAGTTACTCTAGCTAACGGCACAAGGTGCTGGTGACTCCTTGTAGTGCTTCATGAGGGTTTAGTGGGAGCAGCCCCCAGTTCAGCAGTAAATGTATGAATATAATACCAGTGAGGGTGCTACGGACAGAGGAATCAAAGATGTTGAGATGCTGTGCATGAAGGCTCTCAACCTGTGAGTGTAGCTGTTAGGTAAGTATTTTGCCAGCTAAGAAGTACTTCCATATCTTGCACTGTGGGGAGTGCTCTGAATGATGCTTTTCTATTCCCATCTGTTTCCATTTCTTTGTGGCTTCATAATCTAAGTGAATATCCGAGTGCCTTCTCCAAGCCAAATTAAAAAGTGACCCTCTTTTTTTTGTTTTTTGTTTTTTTTTTTTTTTTGTTCCCATCATATGGGTCCTCTACATGCTGGTTTAACATTTTTCTGTGAAAGCAACGTAGTCTTTGACTCTTCTAACACTGGCCATTGTCTTGGCAAGATCTGTTGTACTTTTTTTTTTATCACTGAAAGCTGCTCTTTTGTCCCCGGCCCTGTGGGTGACCTTCCCCTTGAAGCCTCGCATACCTTGCACTGCTCAGAGTGGCCTTCTGTTGTCTGCCCTTGCTGCGTTCTACTTCATCCAAAGATATGCACCGATCTCCTTTGGTTTTGCCCCGTGACCGACTTATTCCTCCTTCCTATAATGGTCCACTAGCTTCCTGCCTTCTGCTTCATCACTTCATGTTTTATACCAACTCTTTATGACGCTCATTATTTCCTCTTCATCTCTCTTTCCTCTGTTGTCTCAAGGAGCTAAGAGGTGGACAGAGTTTCTTTCATATCTCTGGGTAGCTTGAAGGCTTCATGGATTTTTAAATCTCTTGTATTTTAAGCTATGTTTAAAACTGGCTGTATTAATATTTTGCTGTGTCATAAATAGAATTTATTAATGACTTATAAAGATTCAGAAGCTAAACATCAGTTCTTGTTTTAAAAGTAGTAATCTGATTTTTTTTCCTCTCTGTTTGGCTGGGACAGGGAGAAGGTGAATTTAGCAATAGTATTCTCAGTTCTGTTAGTAATCCAGCAGATGTTGACTGGAGCACTTGCTTTGAGGAGGAATGAGGAACTCTTGTTTGCTTATGAAGGAAAACTTGGTCTTGTTATGCAGAAATGAAGATGAGGCAGCTGCAGTGAGGGAAATTCCTTAGAGGGTCAGCCTTTGTCTATCGCAGAAACTTTTGTTAAAAGTGTTCACTTACATTTAAAAAGATGTATTGCATGGATTTGTTTCCCAGTTGTATTATGTGACCAGTGTGGAAACTACTGTGGCCAAATAAGCATTATTGTTTGATGGAAATAGACCCGTAACATGAATTTGCAAAAACTTAATGATTGGTGTCTGTTACAGGTGACACAAGAGGAAGGTCAGCAGCTAGCACGGCAACTTAAAGTAACATACATGGAAGCCTCTGCAAAAATCAGATTGAATGTAGACCAAGCTTTTCATGAACTTGTCAGAGTTATAAGGTATGATGAGTTAAGACCAGATAATCAATGCCCCCCCTACATTAGCGGGTAGCTCCAGCAAAGGCACTGAAATGTAGTAGGAGATCTCTGAAGAATTCTGCCTGCCCTTAGTTGTAAACTGCAACCAGCGCTCTCTGTTGCAAAATATGTGTGTTAGGAAAAATGTTTACAGTAATGTAATATATATTTGAAAGAGAATTTCTTCACCTTAATCTTTCCTATTTTATTGATCACCCAGTAAGTAAGCCTGATAAACTAAACCTGAGATTGACCTACTGTAAAAAATGGTGTTTCTTAAAAAAAATAGAAAAGCAAACCCAAAAGAACTATCACTCATTTTAATCAGTAGTTCGAGTGTCAAAAGTAAGTCCATCCTTTATAAAAGTGTAAAAAGAGTAACTTTAAATACAGTATTTATTTTTATTTAACTGAAAATGATTCTGTGAATTTAATTTGAAATATCTATTTTCAGGAAATTTCAGGAACAAGAGTGCCCTCCTTCACCAGAGCCAACACGGAAAGAAAAAGACAAGAAAGGCTGCCATTGTGTTATTTTCTGAGAATCCCAAGAACCAAGCTATCAACTGCCAGATTATTATTATTTTTTTTTCTTTCCATCGTTTTACATCACTTCTGGTATTGGTCTAGCCTTATATGTGCATGTCCTAAAAGTGGTCACCAGAATAGCCTTAGTCCAAGAAGCTGGCAGAATAGTTCTTGAAGAAGACTCAGTCGTCCTGGGGCAGACTTCAAAACAAAACACTAAGGCTGCTTCTTTAATACCACAGTTCCTTCCTTCTCTCCCTTAAGAGCTTGCACCTTGTGGAGTTTTATTCGCAAAGGAGATGAAACAAAACCGTGTAGGACAAGGTGTTGAAGTCATGCATAAGTTGTCTCTTGTGAATTAATTTATTTTTACTTATGATGTTTCATTAGCTACTACAAAGACCTATATTGAAGTATAGAGAATACTTTTTAAAAAGGGGGTGGATTGGCTTTTTTTGCCCTCAGTTAAATTAGACTTGAGTATTCAGCTAGCCTTAAGAAGCCTACACTGAATTTCATTATCAGCAAAATTTTTCATCTCTCATTTATGCTGCAGTTTTATTTCAGTGGCCAAAACAGTCTACTGTATTTATTTTCTGAATCCAGAACAGCTACAGGATGATTACTACTACTACTATTAGGATATGGCCAAATACCTGAGCTCATTCTGGATTGAGGTATTTCAGCTTATTAAGAAATTTCACATCCTTTGTTTGGAAACAAATTGTGTCTTCCTTTGTATTTCTGGGTAAGGGATTAAGGAAAACTAAAATTGTAGCTGTTTTTGTTTCATGTGATATAAAAATGAATTTGAGCTTTCCATTGTCAGAGATGATTAAATGTTTTTGCTATATACTTTTATACATTATTTTCTTATCAAACTAGTTAACAAGTATTTTTATATGTTTGTAAGCAAATATGCTTTCACAGCATAACTTGTGTATATGTAAAGATGAGTATTTAATTCTCACAGTTCACTTTTAACTGACAAAATGTGGGATTTGCCAAACTGTGGTAAACTTCTCCTTACTCTTCCAGTTATACCCAAGAATGGCCAACTATGCGCCTGCCCAACACACCCACAGAGTAAAATCTAGTGTTGTGTTTTAATGAATTTCAGTATCTCTTACTAAAGACTGACTATTATGTGAACTATTAAACTGTAAGACTTTTAACTGATTGTTTAGTTAAACTGTGGATGGTTGTTTAATTTTGAGTTCTGTGGATTGTGTTTAAACAATTCAAGAGTATGTTCCCTGATATTGAAATACTGAGTGGTATTGCACAGTTGTCACCTTACTGAATGTGTCCAACAGTTCTTTGAAACTTGATTATTAAGCAAACCCTTGTATAACTTCAGGTGCTAGAATTAAAGATGATCTAACCATTATCAAGGGGTAAGCACACTGCCTCTTTCTGACTCTCTTACGGTACCTGAATTTTTTGGGGGTGAGGGGGGAAGAAGAAGGTGAAGGAACCTGGTTAGGAGATAGAGTCGTGCAGATGTACATATCTTTCTTCAAGCTTGGAAGTAAAGCAAAGCTATATGAGTTTAAATCACGAGAGATGATAAAAGCTGATGTGTGCTGTGACTTAAAGTATGTAATCAGTGGTCCAGTCACCAGTTCTGGTGTTTTCAGGCTATGCTCACTGCTATACTGCTATAAATCTGTAAACTTCTGCAGACAAAACAGAGCTTGAACAAGTTCCTTTACTGCAGCAAAGCATTAAACCTAGAAGTGACACCAGTGCCACGCATAGCACAGGAATTTAACTTTTTTATGCAATAGAGATTAGGCTGTGTAATACTGTTTTGAGAGAGTGGGTGTTTCCCCCTCCACTGCCCTTTAAATAAAGTTACTGGCTGATGAAAGGCTGCTTATGAATGACGTGTGGAAGATTCAAACAAGAAGTTACAGTGGAAGTACATTTGGGAGATGGATTACATTTTTCAAGCCAAATGTAAGAAATTACAGCCTGTAGCAAGCACCACGTGTTTTCTTAAGTATGTAAAGCTCTCTGGAGTTGAGTCACTAACTGTGTGGCATTAGAATGAGTTAAGACAGCAAATTACAGCATGTGTGTTGAAACTGAATTTGTGAGGCACAAATATCTTTGTTTTACCATTTTTTTTCCTTTTTTTTTAACCTTTCACTCATGCTAGATTGGTTTTAAAATAGTAGACTTATATTGATAGGTCTTTTAATGTGTAGCTGTAATTCACAGAGAAGGTGGCGAGCACCACACCCTTGCTGTTCCTCATATGGAAAGCAGAATGGCTTTGAGGTGGTTGATGCCAAGCAACCTGCTTCTGTCTGCTAAGCCACATTGTAAACATGCTAAACTTTATAAACAAGTTAAACAGAAGTTGGACCACCAGCTGCTGCTATGGTTGTCTGCTCTGAATTTATTAACTGAGACTGTATATTCCTGTGCGTGTGGTTTTAAGGCTCCTACTGCAGAGAATGTGCGGGGTAATGTCCATGTGGTGTTATGGTCTCTTTTTGAGACCGGTTCCTATATGGGACTTTAAGCAGGTGTTTTGATCCTACTCTTTAGCCTTGGAGTAACTATTATAATGGTGATCTAGCTGGTCCTGAGTTTGAAGCAGCTTAAGGTGTTTAAATTATTTGCTTTTCTAATTGTTGCATCTGAAGGTAGTGGTGAAAAATGGTGCTTCTGTCCCTAGGGTGGAGCTTGCAAAGTGCGGCAGGGACCTGGTCAGTCCTCTCACAAGTAGGAGCCCTGATCTGGGTGCCTTGGAGTATGTGTGAATTTGCAACATTGCCACCTTGCTGTAAGTTTAGCTTAGAGCCTGAGAGTTTCTTACGACTTTACTTGGCATAAGGAGTGCTTAAAGATTTGTCACTTATGTTTGTCATTACTCCAGTTCATCCGTAGATCATTTAAATTCACTGTTCAGGAATTTGGGATGCTTAAAATGTATCCACAGATGACCTCCTGCTTGTCCTAGGGCACAGAGGGGGGTCTGGATCTTTGTTTCAAAGTACAGAATAACTCACCTCTTTCTGGAATCCTGCACTGTGGAGCCTGCTGCTCCACTGGATGAGGAGGATTGACCTTCTCATAGGTAAAAGCCTTTTTATGCAATTGGTGAGGTTTTATGGGTGGCCCAGAATTGGGGAAGAATGACTTCCATGTAAGTGCACTCTAGTTCCTTATACCTGCTCTGGTTAATGCATTTGCTTCCTCTAACCTCAGCTCAGCTCATTACGTGCTCCTACCCTGTGCTACACAGGCTCGCTTTGGGCATTTATCTCACTGTCTCTTGCCAGGTACCCCACCCATGGCTCAGTTCCACAGGGCCAGCAGTACCAGTCAGCGTCGGGAGGGAGGGAGGGAGCGAGGAGCCTTCCTTCTGCAGGAAGAGGGAGGACACTGCCAGGGTGCTTTGCGCAGCATGGCCTGCACGCTGCGAGGCACTGCGGCACATAATGAGAGGAGCTGTCATGGAAGAGTTAATAAAGCAAAATATATATGGAAGGAATTAACACCCACTGTCGCCAAGGAAAACTCTGACTTTATGCGTGGCCTTGTGGTTAGTCATCACTGATAAAGTTCAGGTCTGGATTCAAACAAAAATATTAGCCAACACTCTTCTGACATCACTGTATGTGACAGCATTTCACCCGTGGTGTAGCTGTGGCCATTATTGACTGGGCTTGCCACGTAATCTTGCTGCAAAGCTTTAATGAGCTTATTCCAAACAGAAGATTCCCGAAGTCTGTTGCCACAAGCCAAGCACTGCCAAAAGTTATCTGCACTTAGGATTTAGACATTTGTTGCCTGGAAAAGCTCAGGAATCTGCCGAGCAGAGAATGTGTTTGTTCACTAAATTTAGGCATAGATTTTGGAAGTTGATTACTCTCATGTTCCAAAACCACGATAAAAGAAACACTCAGACTGAGTTTGGAAAAACACTCCAGCTGGAAATGCAGGGCCACGATGGTGTTCCCTGTGTTCCTCTGCTGTTTCTGCCAAAAGTTGGTGAGATGGGCTCTTGCTCAGGGCATCCCGAGTGGTAAATGCAATGCTCACCACCTTAAATACGGCTTTTCTGCCGTGCTTACCTGGTTCTATTGGAAAGCTAAGTTAATACTACAGGCTTGAAGCAGGTCCTGGGTTTTAAGTGGGGGTAAGTATCTTCAAGGTCTTAATCCCTGTGTTGTGTGGCACATGTAAGGAGAGAAAACTTGTCAATGGTCTTGATATTCCAATATTAAAAGCTCTGGCCACTTGGCTGAAAGGAATCAGATTTTGTTCTTTAAACTTTGTGGCTGTCTAGGCTGCTTTCTGGATCTTTCTAGGCTTTTGTTCAGGCTGTATGAGTATCAGTAGGAAATGGAGAAAAATCACTTAAGGGGTGATGATAAAGGGCAGGGAAAGGAAAATAATCTTGGTACTTTCCTTGTTCTGTGTTCTAACCTGAGTGCATACAACAGATCAAGTGCAGAAATGAGGATGGGAGGACTGTCTTTGTAGCCTTTAGCTAGGAAGATAAAGAGCTTTAAATGAGAAGCAGCAGATGTGGAAAAAGCAATGGATGAAACTACGAGGAGCGCCTAATACACAGAAACAACATGGTGAATGTGTGCTTTGCTTGCTTTCTGCAGGTGTGCTAGGCTTTTAACACTACAGTTATTTTGCAGAGGTTGAGAGAATTCTGTGGATTAAATATAAAGGACAGATGATGTCCTCTACACAAAAGCTAAATTGCATTAATGCATGTAATGTAATTAGTAATGTTCCTGAGCCAGCCAGCAAGTAGTGTGCAGAACTAAAGGCATTGTCTTGCTGCTGGAAAACTAATTACCTCTCTCTTCAGCTACTTTTCAAGTTGGATCCTGTGAGCTGTACTGAAATACACAGTATTTGGTACTCACTAATTTGTAGTGACATTTGCACTTCACAAATTGCTACATTTAAAAAAAAAAAAAAAGCTTCTGACATTAAAGTACTGTAGAGAGGGAGAAGTTACCATAGTAAAGTACAGACACAAAAAATGGAAGTAGAGACAATAAAACCTCTTCGTTCCTTGTCTCTTAGTCGTAGGCATGGATTAACAAATACTAGAGCCAGTTTTCATTTCACTGGAATGGGATGGCTGAAGAGCGATAGTGCGGTACAAATGCTGCTCTGAATGCATCTCACTTCTTATGAAAAATGTAAAAGATGAAATTACTCTGGTGATATGAACAGTTTATATGCTGTAAAAAGTACTTTGTAAGGTAGCATTTTCAGACCTGTCCAGGGCCATATATCCAATTTACCATACAAACCTAACTCAGGTTTGTCTTTTCTGTAAAAAGCTGAATAGGGAAGACGAGCAGTGTTGTAGAAGGATCTGCTGTGAGAAAATGGTGGATTATCTTTTTGTTGTGATTATTTATTTATAAAGCAGTGGACTTGTGCAGGGGAATCTCCTTCTAAGCAAGGGATGAAAGGTGGGATTAAAAAAAATGGTGGTAAGAGCATTGTGTCACTAGCTGTGTCAGGAATACAGGAGACAAACCAAAATGAGTAATATTTGTATATCTTCAGTAACATCTACAATTTACAGTCAGGAAGTTACGTATAAACACTTTGTGCTCAGCTAAAGAATATATCTAAATGAGGATTACTGTTAGCATGAGAAAAATGTAGTCCCTCTTGTCTAGGCACCAGTCCTGGCCTTTCCCTGAGGAGATCTCTTGAACGTGATGCTGACCTTTGCAAGTGAAACGACGTTCTAATGCGTTTCTCCTTCCTACTGCGACTTTCAGGCAACACCTGCTGGGACTTCTAAACTGTAAAATCGGCCCGTCCTTCATTGCCTGTCGGAAGAATGTCATATTCCTGAACTGCTGGCTTCCTGGCTCACTGTAAAAGGTGTTCTGTCCTGTCTCTTTCCTCATGAGACTAAGCCTTCTGTGTCTCCAGCTGATTTTTAGTATTTGCAAAATAATCAAGTGCCTTGATGCAAGTACCACACTGGCAATGTGAACTGATACTTCTGCTTACGCAGTTGTCCCTCTCATTCGAAAGGCTGGCTTTGGGTCATTCTGAGGGCTACCTTTTCAAGGTTTTGGAAGGTACTGCGTGCTTGCTGAAATGTTCTGTTCCTCCCTTCCCCTGCTTTTAAAATGTCCATTCAGCCATGTGTATTTCTGGGAAACGGGAAGGAAAATACCTCGTGAATTCTGAATGTTTTGCTACTTTCTGGTTTTGTCTTGTGGGTTCCTAATGTGGAAGTTGCACAGTGAAGTTACTCACCCTTCTGCTCCAGTTGCCTTTGAACTAGTTGCCTTAACTTCTTGATCTGTTTTTGTAATTAAAAGGCAGTGAGACCTCTCCTGTTTATCTTTCTCTTGAACAACCAGCTTGAGGT